CTACACACATGGTGGGTGCACTTACATACATGAAGGCAAAACATTCACACATAAATCTTTTTTTTAAAGCATTTAAATACTATTTCAGAATACACCGTTTCAGTGCTATGAAGATCACAAAAAATTAAAAACTGAACTATGTTTAAAAATGACCAAAATAACAAGTTTGTGTATTTTGACTCAGATTCTTTAAAAATCCTGTTTTAAAACTTTTGCTAATTTCAATAAGATAAATGACTCAGGCAAGAGAAACTACCAATGAATACTATATTAGGTAGACATTGGATAAAGAACTAGACACTTATGTATTGCCAAAATTTCACTCTTCCCAGATGACATACCAATTTGACCAAAGGGAAAAACATGATTTCACAATGGAAAAAAAATCTATCATCACCTTAATCAATCCAGCTTTATTAATAAAGATTTGCATGGCTCCTGCTATGATGCATTGTGTCTGGCTATTAAACATTCTACTGAAATATTTATTCTGAACATTATTTCAATCCATTCTTCAGATAGAACTTACTTGACAAAAAGGGGGGGATGTAGAGGAATGACCTAAATTCAACATAGAAACAATAAAACCAATTAAGAAAAAGAAAGTTTTAGGAGAGATTAGGTGAAATTACATCTTTCTAACAAGTTCCCATTGTGAAAAAGTAATGAAATTAGAAGGGAACAAAACAATTTCAAACTAAAAGATACTAAATGGCGGAGGCATGACTAAATGAGGCAAGTGCTCCTTTGCAAAATCCTGGTTTAATAAGCACACTATAAAAAACATCATGGGAATGACTGGAGATATTTAAATATACCATAAATTTGATATTAGAGAATTTCTGCCAATTGACTGTTATAAAAACAGCAGTGTGCTGATAAAATGTGAAGTTCCCTTTTTCACAAATACTTAATAAAGATGTGAAGATGAAAGGCTTTCGGCTCCATAACTTAATTGAGTGAAAAACACACTTGAAAGTAATATAAGCACATAATGTAGCCAAGTAACCAGTTATTTATCAATGGCTGCTAAGAACCATTAGGTAAGCCTGATAGAAATTCTTATCTATCCGAGTAAAGCCCTGATCCATCTTCATCCCAAAGACAGCCAGCCACAAGAGTTATCTTTTGTTTTCATAATGATTTGTGTATGTGTGCGATGTTGTATGGCCACCATGCGTGTCTGGGGATCAGAGTCACTTTCCTCCTGCCAAACAGATTGCAGGGATTGAATTTAAGTCATCAGGTTTGTGGGCAAACCATGTCATTAGCCCTACTACAGTATCTCCTGATGAGAGGCAATAAAAAAATAAATGAAAGAATGAAGAACTCACACAGACACACACACACCCCTCCCCACAAACTAACCTTGAATCTTACTAAGTCTAGGCTATTATTTATAGGAATGCCAAAGACACAAACATATTAAGCATTACCACAGACACTGATGCATCAAGAATAGAGAGACAGAAATTCCCATAGAACAAAGAAGTTCCAACAAACTGAAGAAAAGAAAGAAATAAGCCACATATTAAAATACTCAACGGCAAGTCAGGTGCATGTCTTTAATCCTCCAGCACTTGGGAGGCAGAGGTAGGAGGATCTGGGTTCAAGGCTGGCCTGATCTACATAGTAATTTCCAGGATGAGAAACCCTGATAGATAAATAACTGGAAAAAAAATAAAGTTAAAATCTTTTGAAAAGATGATATTTAAAAAAAAAGAAAGAAAAAAAGAAACCCTGACTCAAAAAAAAAAAAAAATCCAAGGGCCACAGCAATCAAATTAATATAAATGTTACTCAGAGGCCATTTTGAATAACAAAAAAAGACTTAAAACAACTTGACAAATATGGACCCTGAATATCTGATGACATTAAAGAAAGCTCTTTAGGTGTGGGGGTTGTTATTTGTTATAAGCCTGAGTGATTTGGGGATTTTTGCCGTTATTGCTGTTTTGGTTTTTTTTTTTTAATTTA